GGGGGGGGGGGGGGGGGGGGGAGCAAAACCACAATAACAGTAATAATGATGGTGATAATGATAACTAAATCACTCAGTAATTTATGGGCATGGCAGCTGCAGCTTAGATAAAATCAGCACACCTATGGGGAGTGGAAGGAGGTGTCTGGTAAGCACAGACAGAAGACGAACTGAAGACAGGAAGGGGGTGGAAGGGGCCAGCTCCACAGCAGCACCATCTGCACAGAAAGCAAAGCCTACCTTATCCAGGAGAACTTGGGCTAGGGATGGTTAGCGGGCAACCACATACTTGTTAGGCCCCAAGTGTGCCTTATTTTTTTTAATATTTTATTGTTTTTTATTTTATGTGTATGAATGTTTTGCCTGCATACAAGTACACCCATGTCAGAAGTCAGAAGAGGACATCAGATCCCCTGGAAGTGGAGTTACGAACAGTTATAAACGACCATATGGGTGCTGGGAATCAAACCCAGGTCCTCTGCAAGAGTATCCAGTGCACTTAACCACTGAACCATCTCGCAAGCCCGAGAAGTGTGCCTTGCTGACGAGCCCTATTTAGTGACAATAAATCTGCAATTTGGGATATACAGACCTAGGTTCAAATCTAACACCCACAAATGGGAACACATGAGCAACTGCCTAATGTTCCTTATGCTCTAGACTTCCTATCAACGAATGTTCATGAACAGAAACATCTACCAGGAAGGGAAGTGTGGAGATAAAGTAAATCCTAGTTAAGTGCAACTTTGGGGCTTCATTGGTGCTAACTTCTTCCCTCTCGCGATCCCACTCCATCTTCACAATAACTGATGAAGACAAAGGAATATTCAGGACATTTTAAATAACTGTTTCCTACCCATTACTTACTACCATATCCAATTCCAAAATTACTGGTCTGAACATAAAAAGTCTAATGTTTAGTTTTGAATAGAACACTATTCCCTCTGAGTTGGGCACCCCATCCCATCCACCCTCCAATTTATCAATGCATTTTAATAAATATTTACTAAAACTTACTCCCAACAACAGATGTTTACTTTCCTATTAGAAGTACCAGGCAAGGAAACTGCTCACTTTCAGGTGGAGAATTCCCACTTGATCTCCCTTCCTGTGTAACTCTCCCACCTGCCTGGCCTGGGCCTTCCCTTCATCAATGACAAGGCCCAACCTTCCATTCTTCCCATTCTAAATCCCTTCTGGCAGCGTTTACACTTCTACTTTAAAACAAATGATAACCTAATTCCAATATCTACCGCAGGCCTTCATCATCTGTTGATGTCCCTCCTCCCTCTCAATGAAGCTTCTAGGAGGTGCACACCACAGCTTTCCAGGCACTGACTCCACCTCAACCTGCTGCAGTCATGGTCCCAAGGGCCCTGGTTTAGGTCTCCATCAGCACCTGTACTTCTGCTCCAAGGCACGCTCTTCAGATTCCCCTTCCACATCTCTTCAGCTTTTGTGGTTCACACTGCTCACTGCTCACCTCCAAGTCCTTCCTAAAATAGACTTTTTCTTTTGCTTCTCTAGTTTCCTGCAAACTTGTGATCACTTCTTTTTAGAGTCCACCAATCTTCCCCGCCCCCTCCCTGTGTAACGCTCTTCTACCCAGCCCCCTTAAATGTTTCTATCTCTCTGCCAGTGGATCTCTACCTTCTACAGATCACCAGGTAAAAAGCCATGCTCTCTATAGCTCATCTCACCACCATGACTTCAGCTCTCACTTGATCAATCATTTCAAATCCATCACTCTAGTTCTTATCTTACTTCTGAACAGCAAGCCTGTGCGTATTTGGTTTCTCCCTAATGTAAACCATTAATCCAATGTGTCCAAAAACTCAGCTCTTCTCTGCCTTTCAAACCCTGTTCCTCATCCAGACTCCTACCACAGTAGTTAAAACACCTAGTTCCCAAGTCAGAATCCTAATTGCCATTCTAGATTTGGCTTTTCACCACCAGCTCCATTCAATAATTAAATTCTGCCACTTCTTTACTTCTCAACCTAAAAACAAAACAAAAAGCAAACCCCCACAGAACTCTGTATTCCTTCCTCTGTCTTTGCCACCACCATTACTGACTGGGCATGATAACCTCATCTCTAAATAAACCTAGCAACAACCCCAACCTGGTTCGTGGCTTCCAATTTGCCATGTGTCAGGAAGGGTGACCCTGCGATGCACACATCTTTTCACAGCACTCTCCTATTTAAAGTCCTCCAAGTGCTTCCTACCGTTTAAATATGACCCTTGAAAGTGACAAGAAAGGCTCTCATATCTCTTCTCATCCTTCCTTTATAAGCCCCATGTGGCTACAGAACAGTCAACCTCTAGTGTCTCCATGTGAACTGCTAAGACCCAGTTAGACTAGCCCGATGCGCAACAGCAAACCCCACACACCTGGAGGAATCACTAGTCCAGCTTACTCTATTCAACTCCAAGAAACTCATTCGCTTTCATCCTGAGGGCCTTTTCTGTTACTGCTGGAGTATTTTTGATGGTAGTACTTTGAGTGTGCTTTTCCCAAGACTGTCAGTGCAGCTCATCTCTTAAAATTATAAAGTCCTTGCTCTAAATCAGCAAAATGTTTGTACACTTTTATTTAAGATCACCAATTTTAAAAACAATCATCAAACAGATTACTGTCAATAAACTTCAGAATAAGCAAATGAGAGCTGGCAGGCACCGTGCAGGTGGGGAGAAGCCAAGAGAGGCTTACCAGTTGTGCACCATGAGCTTCTGCACAGCCAGTAAAGCATTGTAGCGGACCTGCTGATCTTCATGGTGCATGTGGTTCATTACAAGCTGCTTTCCACCAAGCTGCTCAATCACCCTGCAGAACAGAAGGACTTGGTGAAGGTGAGATTTCCTTCAAACTGATGTTGTATAAACCCACAGGTATAAAGTCCAAATACCAAAAGGCCCAAAGGATTCCAAAACAAAGTTACAACCAACTGAAGCAAACTAACACACATTTTCTTACATTATTCTCAATGAATTACAGAATTTAATAATCTGAGTATTTCTTCAATTCCTAATGTTAAATCCAATTGATATTCTCATTTCTGAATCCAGGAAAATATCATTTACCTAGGTACATCAAAGTATTCTAGGTAGTTGAGCATTAACTTCTGTATATTAACTTCTGGCATACTTAAATTAAAAAAAATATTTAATTCCAATAATATTCATTGTAAGATGATTATTAATTACTACACTATTATTAGTTACTACACTATCATTATTAATTACTATGTAATTGATACAGGTTTAGATGCAGACAGGAAGGGACAGAGAGCCACTCATGTTCATTTCTTGGAAAGATATGTCTTTAAGATATTTGTCCTTTTCATATAATGATGGGCTATGCCACATGACCTCCTGGTTATTATAAAGGAGAAGAGAAACTCCTGTCCTCTAGAATGCCAAGATGACTGACAACCACACTGCTCTTTAATACCACATCTCTCAAACCTGAAAGTCACTTGCTACAGACACAAAAGTAGGTGAAAATGGTTATTTGTTTCATGAATCTGTGGTCTGCAATGGTGTGGTTAAAAGCAGAGCTATGGCTATGGGGGGAGGGTCTCTTAATGCCAGCCCAAGAGTATATTTCCGTATCTATTCTCCATCTGCTTACTAGTATTGTCTGGTGGGCTATGTCTGCTACGTATCAGTGTCAAATGACACCTTAAGGCAACACCGTATTTACCACTTTAAGACAACCTTATTGTTCAGTAAGGTTTCTTGAACTAATCAGGAATTGGTAGGTGGAGGTCAAGGGGTCTGAGGGAGGCTTTTCTCTACACATATTTTCATATTTTAAGAATCTTTTAAAAAGTATATTGGGGGCTAGCGAGATGTCTCAGTGGTTAAAAGCACTGACTGCTCTTGCAGGGGACCTGGGTTTGAATGCCAACACCTACATGGCAGCTAACAACCATTGGTAACACCAGTTCCTCTTTTGACCTCTGTAGTCATTGCACAACACGGGTGCATTCACATGTATGTAGGCAATACACTCATACACATTAAAATTAAAAATATATTGACTTGGGGAGGGGTTCAATTAAAAAATAAGTATCATTTGAGTGCTTTTTATATACTAGGCACTGTGCTTTTAAATGCTACTGTTATGTCAGCTCAGCTTTCTCCCTGCTTAAAGCAATTCAGTGACTACTACTGCTCTCTAACAAAGGGGTCAAGATCTTTATCACAGCATTTGCAAAGCTCCTCCTCATGTACGTTGGAGTCCCTGTCTAGCTCCAGAGAATAGAGCCTCATACTCTTATTCTCTGAGCTTGCTCTATGCATTGAGCTCATAGTTGACAGTGTTGTTCCTCCCTGCAAGAGGAATGCATGACACACGCATTTTCATGTGCACATCACAGCCCCCTTGGACTTGGAAACCTAAACAACACTTTGATACTACACTGGGGAGTCGCTTTAAACAGCAAAATCAACAATAAAGTAGACACAAAATGCAAGCATGGCACTGAACACCCCATGTGAAGGACGCGTGCGACACGTGCTTGTAGTAAGAGGAAAGTACAAGAGGCAGAACATGGCCTTGCTGCACCTCAGTTGAAATGTGTCCATCAAGGACTCACGGTCTTTATGGCTCTACAGAGGTCCATGAATAGCAGTAGAAGTGCCACAAGTATTGGCATGGGGTTAAACATGAAATAATTTTAGCAGGTAAGCAAATTCACTGAGGGTGCTGTACGGGCAGGCATCTGGCCATGCAGCTTGCTCTCCCAGACCCATCCTCAAGCCTGTTATTGTGCTTCCTTCACCAGCCATTACTGTGGTGCAGGGACAGAAACATCTAAGTAGCCAAGCTTAAGGTTATGGGACTGTAACTAAGTGCAAGAATTTGAGAAAGCAAGGCATGGTGGTACATGCCTTTAATATCAGCACACTGGAGGCAGAGGCAGGCAGATCTCTGAGTTCACACCAGCCTAGTTTGCATAGTGAGTTCCAGGCCAGTCAGGGTCACAAAGTGGACCCTATCTCAAAAAACAAAGCAAAACCAAACAAACAAACAAACAAACAATTTGGGAAAGTGTATATTGCTGGCTTCTTGACCAACCACCTACAGTGTGGGAAAGGGGACATATACTTTCTTAGCTGGAGAATTCTTTAAAGGAAGGTGATTCTGATTCTGAATTGTTTTAAAAACAGCAAAAGTAATACCCATTATGAACTTTCAGGCAGAGACTTTTTATAGCTGCAATGGCCCCTTGCAAGAGGCTTGAGATGGTATGACAATTACCGGCACAATGTTCCAATGGTTGAAACAGTATTTATTATGCCAGACTTGAGCAGAGGACTGGTTATATACAGCAGAGTTACTGCTGTGTGGATAAAGGGATCCTAGTATTGAAACAGAAGGATAAATATGACCAACCTGCTATTTGAATTTATTAAAGACGTTTTGAGGGGTGGAAGCTGGAGAGGGAAACCAGGGCCTCTATGCTAGGAAAGGGCTCTGCACTAAACTACACATGCCCAACCCCAAGACAATTATTAAATTTGTAATCTGGAGGCAGTAACTACCTGTTATGCTTTCCATCCAAATTTATAAAAACAGGCTATTAGGTCAAAAGTATTCCTTATAACTACGAAAGCAGCTATGAACATATGAACATAACAAATACATAAAGCAAGAGTGAACAGGGCTCCATGTTGGTACCTGTTAGAACAGCACAGTCTGAAGGACTGGGAAGTATACAACTCTGCCTTTCCAATCAAACTGGTGGCACTCCCCCTTCCTTCCTTCTTTCTCCTTCCCTCCCGTTTCCCTCTCTTCTTCCCTCCATTTCTTTCTTCTGAACAGGGAGCCTGAAATTCAAACTCTTCTGAATTATGTTCACTGAACTAAAAGAAAGTGGCCACTGCTTGTTTCATGAGCTTCTGATGATCGAGACTTTTACTGGTAAGGCCAGTTAAGGTCATTTCTATCATTTTAAGAGATTTAAGGGATGTATTTTAGCAACAGTGATTACCTTAATATCAAATGTGAGATACAAAAATAATTTTCTAAGATAACTGACTTGCAGTAAGATGGCTATAACATGAAATGTTTGATTTATCCCACATCTTGAAGCTTTATTTGTGAGGAAAAGTGTGAATGTGAATAAGAGATTAAAACAATACAGAAACTGCATCTGACCTAAGGATGCCCTTTTGTGCTGCTGATGCAAAGAGAAAGCTGGAGATCCCTTTTGCTGATGTCTCACAATAGGCCGTCCCATTTTCCTGCTTTTTTTAACAGGCTGGTCAACTGAGTGCCTGATGGGATATTGAAAAAGACTAGATTCATAGGTGCATACCACACAGTATAGCTACTAATGTGGCCCAACATGATGAGATCAATTTTTTGTAACTCAACTGTATAATTTTTTTAAATATTGTATTTATTACTTTTATTTTATGTGGGTGAGTATATTGCCTGCATGCATGTAAGTACACCCAAGTTGTGCAATACCCATGGAGATCAGAAGGGGGAGTCAGATCCCCTGAAACTAGAGTTTTGGATGATGGTTAGCCACCATGTGGGTGCTGGAAATTGAACCCAGGTGCTCTGCAAGAGCAGCCAGTGTTCTTATCCTTTGAGTCAACTCTCCAGCCCCAATTGTGCAGTTTTCAAGCATGAGCTTTGGAAATGATAGTCCCATGTCACGATGTCAAAAGGTTGGATATGTCTGCTAAAGAGGTGATGTGTAAATGTAACAGTATGACAGTTCCATCAAGAGAAGAACTTGCTCATGCTGTCTAATATCATTTGGAGCATAAGCTGTCAGGATCAACACTGTCAGATGGAGAGCTGGGCTCAGACTTAGGAAGAAGAGGTAATTAAGGTCCCTTTGGCATGAGAGGACAGTTGTTCTTCTCCTGGGTTGGTAAAATGACCACAAACATCTCAGATTTGACATAGATCTCTAAAGCCACCCCAACCCCACCCCCCAACATCTCCCCCACCCAGTGGTCCCCTCACCACCAACTCTCCAGCATCCTGATCAGGCAGACAGACCTGCTCAGTCAGGATTCTGAACAGCCTACTACCCAGTAAGAACTTCAAATATCTACCAATTTGTCTTCCTCACCTAAACAAAAAGTAACTAAGCTACATAAACAATATTAACAGAACCAAAATTAAATTACTCAAAAGCAGAGTAGAAGTTCCTGTTGGACACATAACCGACAAAGGACATCCATATGCCCAGACGACAATGCAAAAACACAAACAATATGATCCTGTTTAAGACCCTAACGGCTCCACCAAAAGCTCTGAACCGATAAACACTTTCAGCAGAGTAGCAGCAGGGCTACTATGAACTGGATAAATGAATATATTTATTCCACAGGCACTTGGGGGTAAAATGACAATTTATCTGTTTGAAGGTCTACACTTCTATCTAGTCATTGATAGGGTGTTTTCTTTATGGTACTCAAGTACTTTGCTCACAGTATGGACAAAGTAGCCATCAGTGACTGTAGAATGCTGAAGTCTTCAACCACAACTACATGTGGCTCACATTCTAAGAAGCCCCACATTTATTTAATTCAACATGTTACCTGATTTCCAAATACAACTTTGATGAAAAGATGAGTATTACCCTTAATAATACTAGTAATAACACAATCAACTGATCATTATTGAGGATTTACAACACACTTATAGCAGTGCTATAAACACTGATTTAGGATTAACTCATTTAATCTGTCCAACGACCTCATTAGAAAGGCCAGGCATAGTGGCACATGCCTCTAATCCCAGCACTTGGGAAGCTAAGGCAGGACTGTGAATTCAAAGTCAGCCTGAACCCCACAGGAAGACCTTGTTTGGGAGGGGAGGGGGATACTGTCCATCTAATTTTATGGAACAGAGAACTTCTCTAAACAAACAAAACAAAGCCACCCTTTAGACCTTTTCAGTGCTTTCTTTCTTGATATACAATCCTGGCACCTGGACTTCCTACTTTTCCAAATAAACATATCCATTGTTTTATTGTCAGTCTATCTAAGTACATTTAATTGTATGACTACACTTTATTTAAGATACATAATTATACTATTACACATCTAGTGTAACTTTTCTTTACAGACTTTGTATTTAATTTTACACCTAGATCTAAGGTCAGTAACAATTTCTAATACATTTTTATAACCAAAAGTAGTAGAAAAATAATCAGTATTCACAAAATGATTATTGAATTAAATTACTGAACCAAAGAAACTTTTAATGTGAAATTTTTAGTAGTTTTCATTGACTATTTAAAAAGTATTTATTATTGCAAGTGCATTTATATTTATTGTACTCATTTCTTTTTTTTAAAACAGGGTCTCCCTGTAGCCCCAGCTGGCCTAGAACTACCTATATATACTAAACTGGCCTTGAACTCACAGAGACTCACCTGCCTCTGCCTCCCAAGTGCTGGGATTAAAGGTGTGTGCCACCACGCCAGGATTATCCTACTCATTTTTAATTGAATTCATTTATTTCATTAGTTTGCCTACTAAAGTACTCTGATTCTGATAAGTACATTACTTTGGACTCTATGTTGAAAGTTTCAAGAGATCCAAATGACACAAAGGTTACCGTTTGCCCCGTGGATAATGTCGCACATACTCTCCAACATCATGAGCAGCAACAGCTAGGACTTGTGGATCATCGGACACCTCCAGGAGTTTTGTTAAGATTCTGAAATACATTTAGTTCAGAGAGATCAAGCTCTGTATTTTTCTACAGAACACAATATAACACAAGTATAATATAGACATTTTACTCAAAGCAGATGTTTATAATCATGTTTTTCTAAAGATGTCACTATTATGTATATGTTAGCAGTTTTCAAACCTTTGTGTGTATATACAGGCTGGCCACAGGTTTACAAACAATACCATACCATTTACATCACAACTTCCAAAATATCAGGGACTCTACCTCCTTGCTCCAGAAAGACAACCAGAATGTGAACATGTTATTCTAATGGAAGCTCACCAGGGGATCTTTGCTGATTACATTTGTTAATAAATCACCTGTAAACCACAGTTATTAGTATTGGAACCAATTCCTTTCAGCACTCTACAATCAAGATAAGTACATCCAACTCTCCTCTCTCTTATCTCCACCAAAAGTACAAGTACATCCACACATAGGATTCGATCCACTATAGTAAGAGAAAGTTTCTTAGATAGTGGCGATTGAAATCCAACATATGAGTGCCCTGACCCTCCAAATGCTTTCCCCTGTGAAACCACACAGAGTGAAATTTACAGTGCAGCCTGATGGATACTTGTAAGAACAGGAGCCAGGGACCCAGAGCAGAGAAGTCTCCTCCCTGGCAGGCTTTCCACCTTCCTCTTCAAAGATCACTAGAGAGGACGTACCCACCTACAGGGTGTGTGTGGCCTTAGGAGTGAAGCTGTCTTGCACAGCTCAGAAACAGTTGACAAACAACGGGCTTCCAATTTAAGAGACCGATAAGTCCTTGAATGCTACTTTTGAATGTTTAAACAGATAATGTTACTGAAATTGCACAAGGACACAGGGCATGGTGGCGAATGCCTCTGATTCCAGCACTAGCGAGTCAGAGGCAGGCAGATCTCTGAGAGATCGAGGGCAGCCTGGTCTACAAAGTGAGTTCCAGGTGGGCTGCGATTAGGGAGACCCTGTCAAAAAAAAAAAAAAAAAAAACTGCACAAGGGCCCAAAAATAAACCGAAACTTCTCAAGATCTCATATATATGCAAAGGATGACTATGGTGACAAAACAGAAAGAGTAATTTTTTTTTTTTTGGTCTTTTTGAGACAGGGTCTCCGTGTAGCCCCAGCTGTCCTGGAACTTACCATGTAGACCGTGCTGGCCTTGAACTCACAGAGATCCACCTGCCTCTGCCTCCTGAGTGCTGGGTGCCACCAAACCCGCCCAGAAAGAGTAATTTTTAAAAGTGTTAAGTAAATGATTAGCATGAAACAATTGTTTTGTAGTATTCCAAAAACAGTCACTCATTTAGAAATGATTCAAAACCACAGCAAGTTAGCAAACTGAAGTCAGCAGCATACTGGGAGGACGTAATTTATTCAGCACCAAGATCCACATTTCTCTAAGAATTCCATTGTCCTAAGACAGAATCCCTCATCATTCTCTTTTCCTACATCAGTTCTCTTCATGTTTACTAATCGCCATTATAGTCTCTAACATTACATTCTCTACTTCCTTTGTTTAGTCTTAGAAGGATGAAAATCCTGGTGTTCCCAGGCCAGCCAGCCTAGCCTAATTGGCAATCTCTAGACCTAGCTCAAATTACAATAACAAACAAACAAACAGAAAGGTGGATAGCTCCGCCTAAAAGCTATCCAAAACTGACTTCCATATACATGCACACAAACAAATGTACATATATGTACACACACACACCACACCATACACACACACAAACACACACACACGCGCACGCACACGCCCAACTAAGACTGAATGTGGTTGTGCACACTTGTGATCACAGCATTCTGGAGACAGAGGCAGGAGGATCACGAGTTCAAAGCCAACCTAAGCTGTAGAATGAGACGCTATGTTTAAGAAAAACAGGGCTGGGGATGTAGTTCCATGGTAAAGCACATGCCTAACGTGCAAAGTTTGATCCTCAGAACTAGAGTTTGAAAAAAAGAACTACAGTCATTTTAGTGACTCTAAGCAACAGTGAGTGAAAAAAAAAAAAAAAAAGGCTACACACTCAGTATGAAGAATGCATAAAAATATACATGACAATGCAGGTGAGAACTGGACAGGTGGCTCAGCAATTAAGAGTACTGATGTTCTTGCAGGGGACCCAGGTTCTGTTTCCAGAACCCACATGGCAGCTAACAACCATCCATAACTGCATTTTCAAGGTATCCAATGACCTCTTCTGGCCTCCATGTGAACTGCACTCATGAGTGCACTTACATGCGGGCAAAACACTCATACACATAAAAAATAAATAAGTAAATAAATAAATAATAAATATGCAAGTAACAAATGCCTATGCACAACAACAAAACACCACCACTGGCAACTCTATAAGCTGGTATCAAATGCCTTCAAGAATGCTTGAAATGAGGGGCTGGAGAGATGGCTAGAAGGGAACACTTCTTGCTCTCCCAGAGGACCTGGGTTTGGTTCCCAGCACCCACATGGTAGCTAACAACCAATTCCAGGGTATTCAACACCCTCTTCTGGCCTCTGTGGGCAATGCACACATGTGGTGCATATACATATATGCAGGTAAAACACGCATAAACATAAAAATAAAAAATAAATCTTTTTTTTTTAAAGTGCTTGAAAAACCTCAAGCAAGCTGCTTAATATCACTTGGAATTCAAAGATAGAGCAAAATATACATTTTTTAAAGTCCACCTAATTTTTCCAAGATGCCCAAGGTATTACATACAGTCGCTTAAAAGTATCATTTAAAATATTTAATGGAAAACAACTAAAACCATTTAGTGGTCTGTTTGTATATAAGTGATCCATTTACAAAATATAAGCCTTCTTAAAATGTGTACTAACAATTTAAATCACAACTGTCTTTGCTTACATTATTTGCATTAAAGCAAAATACTTAGGAACAATAAAGTTCAGCTGGGGTCTGGAAGCATACTTCTTTAATCCCAGCACTCCAGAGGCAGGGGCACATAGATCTCTTTGAGTTAAGAGGCCAGCCCAATCTACATAGAGAGTCCCAGACCAGCCATAGATACTCAGTGAGGCCCTGTCTCAAAAAAAGGAAAACAATAATAAAACTCTATCTTCACTTTGATACAAACAGAAACTGGGTATGGTGCACCATGCCTATAATCCCACCACTGGTAGAGACAGAGACAACAGGATCAAGAGGTAAATGCCACCTTGGGATGATGCCTTGATCCCTCAAAAATCAAAAATATGCATTTCCTGTACAATTAGATACCTGGATGTACAGCAAAAGCAACAACATTGGAAGGGAAAATCACCATAAATTCTAAACTTCAAACCAACATAAAAATGCCCACAACTGTGATAGACAACTAGTAATTATGATATATAATGTTTATGTGCAGGGAGTTTTGCATTTTAGAGAATGTTTCACTTTGACTAAGAAAATTTAAAAAATAGTCTTTATAATAAAAAATAATCAAAAAATGTGTATGAATCTATAAAAACTGTTTACAGCTCTGCTTCCCTGGGACTGCACCACCCGCCTGCCTCTCTCTTAGGTAAGTGGATTGCACCCTCAGCGCCTTGACTCCCCCAGCCTCATTCACCCTCCCATCTCCCCTGCCCGTCTCTCCTCCTAGCCTAGGTCCTTTCCCATTCCTTGTCTTGGCACCCCAGACACCTGGGGAACCACCACTGGTTCTTCCTGATCCTGTGTATCCAGACCAATTCCGTTCCTTCTCAGGTCCCCAGGGGCACTCTGGGCCTGGCCCCACCCTCACCTCCTCTGCCTCCTGCGATCTGCTCAACCCACCAGCCTCTTTACTGGATGCCAGGGCTGACCTTTCATCTTCCTGGTCCTTTGCATCCAGACCAACCCAGCTCCTCAGTGCAGTCCCCAGGGGCCCT